TGTTCTATTTCATTGATCCATGTGTCTGTCCCACTGCAAATCCCATACTGTCTTGATTCCTGTAGCAATTTAATGTCTTGATAGCGTGAAGAGTAATTCCTGTTGTGGTATTCTTCTTTGAGAAATACTTTTATCTTGTTCTTTTGTGTCTGTGTAGAAATTTTTTAAAGTAACGTTGTCTTTATGTACACACAGCTCCACCCCACCACCAAAATCGTGCTTAGATTTCCGTAGGAATTATGTTTGATGTGTATGTCAACTTCGGGAGAATTTATATCTCTTATGTTGTTGGGTCTTTCGATTCCCGAACAGGGTACGTATCTCCATTTATTAGGCCTTGGTCTCCACCGGCATTTGTAAATTTCAGTATCCAGATCCTGCACAGACTTCTGTTAATGTGATACCTAAATATTCCACTTTTCTGAGTGATTGAAAATATTACATTTTCTCCACATGTTGATTGTGAGTACTTGTATGTACAATTTTGCCCGTTGGTCTTGTTTCCTTCAATTTAGCCGATCTCACTTAATACTTATAGGAGTTTCTTTGTAGATTCCTTGAGATTTTCTACATAGCAGAGCATGTCGTCTGCAAACAGACAGTTTTATTTCTTCCTTTGCAATCTGCATGCCTTTTTTTCTGTGTTGTGCCGGTACCTTGTTGAACAGCTGTGAGGTGAGCAGATGTCCTCGCCTGGTCCCAGGTCTTTCTGGGGAAAACATTGGTCTTTCATGGATAACAGACACGCTTAGCTGTGGGCTCTGTTAAGGAAGCTCCTCTCTACTCCTAGCTGCTTGAGAATTGGTGGTGGAGGGTTTTTCGTTTTCTTTTCTTTTCTTTCTTGGTGTGGTGCTGTAGTATCAGCACTGGACTGCATACCACAAGATCAGTGATTCACACCCACCAGCTGCTCCTCGGAAACCCTATACAGGGTCGCTATGAGTCAGAACTGACTTGACGGCACTTCACAAGAACATACTGAATGGTTTTTGAGTATTGAACTAGCTGTGTTCTGGGATATATTTATACAGCCCTCTTCCTTTCTGAACCTTCACCCTGCATGCTAGGGAGGTCCACTGTGCCTCATGTACACACCCACACCTTACTCTCCGAGACACTCTCAGCACAAGTAACCATGCTTGGGCTTTGTTGGGTAACATAGTTCCTAACGGGGTGGGCGTAGGGAGGAGTGAGAATTGAGGTACCCTCTTTTTCTGTAGTAAAGAAAATGGTACCATTCAAGTGCATTGGTCTTAATTCAGAGACATCGTCTTGTGTTTGTTTCTCAGCTCTGGTGTTAGGAACAGGAGGGCAGAGGGCTTTCTATAAGCGCCAATTAGTGCCGAAGAGGGGAGAAGGTTCTTTCAAGTCCAGCTGACTGGCCTGGGGAGCTTTCCTACATAATGGATGAATGACTCCTCCTAATCACCAGGTCCAGGGCCCGTGGGCCAGGCACTGGGCAGGGTAATCGAATTAATTCTAGCTTGGATTTGACTTCAGCACACCTCTTTGTCTTTGTCTGTCTGTCTCTCCTGTCTGTGTTTCTCTCGCTGATTTTGCATCTCATCTGCCTCTTCTCCTCACTCTTCCTACCCCTGGTTCTCTCTCTCTGTCTCCTTTTCTCTCTACCCCTCCGTGTCTCTGTCTCTCCCTCCTTCCCTCCCTGAATACATTGTCTCCCCTCTTCTTCCCCATTCTCAGAAGTCCTTTCTCATTAAATCAGTCGTTGGCTCCTTAGAAACCAGGAGGCTACCCCCTGACCCACACTGATGCCATGAACCGTCCACTTTGGGAGGAGAACACTATGTCGGGGTTCCAGGTGGTTTTTCAGCATGCCAGGCGGGTAGCTGAGTGGAGGTGAGAGAACAGGGTGTGCCGGGGTGCTTGGGGAGATGAGATTCGGAGCATACCTCCTCTAGGTATTGCTCTATCAAGTCTGATTTCACAACTGAAGAGTGAGAAGTGTTTGAAAAGCCAGCCGGCCAGCGAGCCGGCACTGCTCCTCTCAGGGCTGAGCCGTCCAGACAGCAGGGGGAGGGACTGTGAGGAGACACAGCTGTGTGCTGTCCTGGGCCACCTCAGCCCAGAGCCAGAGCTGCAGTGAGTGTGTGTGTGCGGATGTGTGTAAGCACATGTGAGTGTGCAGGTGTGTCTGTATGCACACCTGTGTGAGTGCGTGTATGCACACCTCTGGGAATGTGTGCTTGTCTGTGAGTGTGCACATCCTGAGTGTGTGTATGTACACCTGTATGAGTGTGTGCATATGTGCATGTGTGCACCTCCTGAGTGTGTCTGTATGCACACCTGTGTGAGTGTGTGCATGTGTGCACATTCTGAGTGTGTGTATGTATACATACCTGTGTGCGTATGTGGGGGTGTGCACATTCTGAGTATATACATGGGTGTGAGTGTGTGTGTGAGTGTGCACATTCTGAGTGTGTGTGAGGACAAGTGTGAGGGGGTGAATGTGTGTGTATACACACACCAGTGTGTGTACATGTGTGTCTTGTCCATGTGCCTGTGTGCACACGTGTGTGTACCTGAAAGTCCCTCCAAGACCCCCTTCCTGAGTACATCTGATGAAGTGTGATGTGCAGATAACCCCATTCCTTTAAGTGCATGGGACCCGGAGCAGAAAACCCATGACGGAACTCTGTGGAGCTGGGGAAGGGTTCTGAGAGGGGACATTCAGGACAGGCAGGCAGGACAGGAAGACCCAGGCTCCGCTGTCTATGCAGACCCACTTCCCCCTGGGGTCTCGGCCTCTCTACAGATTGTGAGGTGTAGGCACAGGGTGGGGGCCTGGCCAGCCTGGGCTCCAGTGTTTTCCAGGAATGCTCCCCAAGTTCACTCCCTGTCACCTGGGTCAAGTGAGGTGATCTGAAAACACTTCTGTGAAATTCTGAGACTCGTGGTTCTAATTCCAGTACCCATGTCATTTCTGAGAGGTTTTTTTTTTTTTTTTTCCTTCTTATTTTTCACTGAAGACATCAAAGCAATTTCCTTTCAGGGTGACATTCCCTTACCTGGGTTCCCAGGTACGTGGGAAATGGGGGCGACACCTGTTCTCAATCGGAGTCATGGGTTTGACTGAGGAGAACTGAACCTGGGGAACCAGGAAAGGGGATTCTTTTGGATGGGGCTCTGCCACCAGACCAGAGAGCCCCCATGGACACTGAGAAAGGGAGAGCTGGTGGCAGGTGCATTGAAGGCGAGTGACTCGGGAGTCGGGGAACATGGGCTCAGAGGAGAAGGGTGTGTGTGTGTAGTTCCTGGGGCCCAGGACTCCTCAGCTGGGACTGCACGCCCCAGAGGAGGGTGGGGAGGGAGAGGGTCAGGCAGCATTTGGATAGAGTCGGTGGTATGGGGACCTTGGACTTGTCCTGGCGGACACACCGAACACATACTGTCTCTGTTTAGTGTTGCTACAACAGAAATACCACAAAAGGAAGATTTTCACAAAATAGAAATATATTTTATTACAGTTTTGTTGTTGTTAAGTGCCGTCGAGTCGATTCCGACCCATAGCGACCCTGTATAGGGATTCCAAGGAGCAGCTGGTGAGCTTGAATCACCGACCTTGCAGTTAAAAAGATTTTGCATTCTGATGCATTAACCCACAGTGCCACATCAGGACTCCGGATTACAGTTTAGGAGGCTGAATTTAGAAATCCAAATTCAGGGCTCCAGTTTTAGGGGAGAACGTTCTCACTGTGTGTGAGCTCTGGGGGGGATGGTCCTTGTCTCCTTTCAACATTTGGGAATCTGGGGCTCCTTGGAGATCTCCCTGCGTCCTGTCTCCCGTCTCCCCGGAGGACTAGGAAGTTCTCAGCACAGGAACACTGCGTCCACTCCCAGCTCATTTTCTGGGTGGTGAGAGGTCCCTCCGCCTCTGTTCACTTGTTTCATCACAAAAGAGATTGCTACAAGTTCCTACTTAACCCCGCAGAGTGTTTCCTCCCTCAGTAACATGCCTGCGTCTCGCCCTGCCTCATTCACATTTGTTGTTGTTGCTAACGCCACTGAGTGGGTTCTGTTCACAGAGACCCTGTCTAGGGTTACAAGGAGGAGCAGCTGATGAGTTTGAACTGCCTTCCTTATGGTTGTTAGCAATTCAGTGCTTATCCTACACCAGGATCTACAACACATAGGACCAGCTCACAGAATGGAGGGTCATGGCCCAGCCAAGTTGACACATATTTTGGGGAACACAGTTCATTTCATAGCAGAGAATGCCCAGGTTCCAGAGAACTGGGGTACATGGTTGTCTCAAAGAGGCTTTGAACGCCAGACTTGAGGGTCCTGGTCTCCCAGGCCTCTCCCACATCCTCGGGACACGGGGCTGTTGTGCTGTAGGGGGTGATCGGCAAGTCCAGCCTTGCTTACCCACCTTTCAGTCCAGACCTTGCTCGGCTACCTGCTCAGCCAAGCTCAGACTCCTGCTGAGGGACGTCTCAGGTGCCCCTTCACCCACCTGCCAGAGCTGGAGCTCCATCGGAGAAAACCCCACCCCACCCACTGCCTTGAGTCCACGCGGACTCATGGTGACCCCCTAGGCAGACTAGAACTGTCCTGTAGAGTTTCTGAAGCTGTCATCCTCACCTGTGCTTACCTGTCCTCCTGCCCCCAGCCCCTGACAAGCACCGGTGTCTACACTATCTCTCCTACAGTGTCCTGGCTGTGGAACCATGCAGTAGGTAGCCGTTCTGGGTTGGCTCCTCCCACTCGGTGCGGTCTGCAGTCCAGGCTCCTATGCTTTCCCCTGGCCCCAGGAGCGTGGCACCATCAGTGCTGCTGTGGGCACTTGTGAGCAGCCGTGTGGGGAGGGGGAGCAGGGGTCACACTCAGGTAGGGGCTTCCCGTGGGGTAACCTCTGTGGGCCGGGAACGCAGGTGGGCCGGATCACGTGGACTTAGATGGAAGTCGGTGTTCCCTGGTTCCGAGAGCGCAGGCCACACTCTTCCGGCTGCTTGACCGAGTGTCGTCTTCTTTCTTTCCAGACGCAGAAGCAGTTGATGCAGGCCACCAACAAGAGCAACAGAATCTTCTGGCACTGCGCCTTCTTGAACTTCAGGTACTGAGTGGGGTGTCTTCCTGAGAACAAAGCTGCCACATGCTGTAGGGAATTTAAGGCAAAAGACGTGACTGAAGGAGCAATTGCATTTCCAGGGTGAAGTCCACATGGCATCTTCCAAGGCACCGTGTGTCTTCCCTCATAGAAGGCATCAGTGTTTGCTTGGTAAAGTAAGCAGAGGGACACGGATTCAATCAAGAAGAAATGTAGAGAAAAGGAAGAAAATTTATAAGGACTAGTTAAAACTACAAACTTTCTTAACCACAGTCCCTGTAGTTGTGAAGTGTCATTGAGTTGGTTCTGACTCATAGCAACCCTGTGTAGGGTTTCTAAGGAGTGGCTGGTGGGTGTGAAGCGATGACCTTGTGGTTAGCAGTCCAGTGCTTAGCCTACAGCACCAAAAGCAATTCATAGCCAAACATCAGTGCTTTATCTCCTGATACAACTTGGACAAGGCAACATTTTTTAAAGCACACTGTGTAAACCTGGGGAGCGTGGGGATAGAATAAACACTGGACTGTGATCCCTAAGGTCGGCAGTTCCGAACCACCAGCCACTCCATGGATACCCTATACCGGGGTGCTGTCAGTGGGAACCTACAGGCTGGAACCTTCCGGAATGTTTGACTGTCAGGGTGCTGTGATTGAACATAGATCAGGCCCACCTGGTTGAAGTCCTTGGAATGGATAACTGATTCCTATGGTTGAGAAGAAAAGAAAGAGTATCCACTCTACTCTGAACCATTTGGAATGTACGATGGTGTTTACCTGGCCAAGGGGAATTAGCGATACCTTAGACAACTCACCTGGAGATTCCAGGAGCCGTGAACACGCACCAAACAACTCTTCATCTAGTCTGTCTGTTCTCATGCTTGTCTTTGCTATTCAAACAGTAACACTCCTACAGGGAAGAGGGACTGACTCACTCGCTCTGCTGCTGTTATTAAGTGCCTTCTAGTCGGTTCCACGGAGCATAGTGGCTCCATACGATAAGAACTGGACTGTGAACCACAAAGTTTATGGTTCGAGCCTGCCAGCCGCTCCATGGGAGAAAGATGACACTTTCTACTCCTGCAAAGATTTTTAAAAGCCTCGGAAACCTTGCAGTTCAGTGCTTATCCTAGAGCGCCACACCAGAACTCGAATGCTCCTCTAGGTCCCCCTGCTTCTGAATGGCACCTCTTATCCTCGTGTTAGGATGTTAGTACCTTAGTAAGGATGGGATTGGGGAAGCTAGAGAGCCCTTCACAGTGAAGGAGACGGTGAGGAGGACGTGTGTGCATGCCCACCTCCTCCTCTGTCAGTGGCTAACACAACACTTCCGGGAGGTTGATCTTCCCTTGGAATGTCACTGCTTCATTCATCACCTCGCTTCTTCTCCAGCCCTACCCAGCCATGGTAGCTTCAATAACCTCATATGCATGGGAAACATGGACAGTTAATAAGGAAGACTGTAGAAGAATTGATGCATTTAAGTTATGGTGTTGGAGGAGAATATTGAAAGTACCATGGACTCAAGAAACCAATCTGTGTTGGAAGAAGTACAGCCAGAGCGCTCCTTGGAAGCCAGGATGGCCAGACTTCGTGTCTCATACTTTGGACATATTATCAGAAGGGACCAGTTACTGGAGAAAGATATCATGTTTGGTAAAGCGGAGGGTCAGAGAAAGAGAGGAAGACCCCCAACGAGATGAATAACTTACTGGCGGAAGTGATGGACTCATGTGCAGCAACAATTGTGAGGTTGGCCCAGAACTGGGCAGTGTTTCAGTCTATTGTACATAGGATCACTGTGAGTTGATACTGACTCAGTGACACCTAACAACAACAACAACAACATCTCCAGCTGAATTCAGAGAAGAGAGGCAGAAAGAAGCAAAGCTCTTACCCAGGTTAGAGGGCAGATCCTCAAGAAGGTAGATTTAAAACAAGTTTTGATTTATGTCTGAAGTCACCCTTTTCAGAATGCCCCACAGGTCTGTGAGGGAGGGACCAGACTTCACAGACAAGGACGGGGCCTGGGGAGGGGAGGTGTCCAGGCCGTACCCAGTCCCCCCTAGCCTGGATGCTGTATCTGTCATTGGTCCTCCCCGTTCCCCACCCCTGCTGGAAAAGACTGACGTGCTTTCCTTGGGCCCAGTTCTGCCTCAGAAGAAGGCTGTGTAAATGGGACGTCATATACGCAGCCTTGGACTCTGCCTTTCTCCACAACGTCCAGGTTGCATGTGTCCATGGTGAATTTGTTTTCATTTTCTAACTGCGGAGTAGAATCTTACCGTATGGATGTAGCATCGGTGGGTTTTCTCCGGTACAGGGACATTTGGTGGTTTCCTGTTTTGAGTGGTTGTAAGCAAAGCCTGGTGTTGGACCGACTTGGCATTCTTGGGACAAACCTTTGCTTTGTGCTGTTGATATCATACACTTTGCTTTTTACAGATGCCTAAAAGCACACGGTGCATCACCATGCTCGCTTTAGACCGACAGTTATTTTCTTGAACACTTAAAGATAAGAACACAGTACACTCACTGTATGTCTGCTGTCATTTATTCCATTTCTAGTTCAGCTGATTTCTGTATAGATCACGCACAATTCTGAAGTCTTCACAACAGCTATTTTATACAAACGATCCCAGAATGCAGTCCTGCTCTTTTGCTCTCTCATGTGATGCTGGAGCACTCACAAAAATCCCGTCACTCTGTCGGAGACAGCTTTTTTTCTCCTTCACTTTTGATAGATATTGTCCCTGGGATTCTCGGCCCTTCTTTTCCCTCTGAATTGATAATCTAAGAAGTTCTACAAGTAGAACATGAATACATTATTGTTGTAAAAAAAAGAAAACACCATAAAAATAAATGACGCTTTGGCCCTGACCTCCTCCCCTCTTCCCAGCAGTCACCACTGTGGGGAGCGTCCCCCATAATTTATGTTTAACTTGTATTTCTGTCCACAGAAAAACCTGGCTTTCTTACATCAGGCCCTCACATTGTTTGGGGTTTTACTGGAAGTTTCAACTCATAGTGATCCCGTGTAGGATTTCTAAGGAGCGCCTGGTGGGTTTGAACCACCGACCTTGTGGTTAGTAGTCCAGTACTGATCCTACAGCACCACACTTAGTATGTGGTATCTATAATACGTGTATAGCTAGACGGCACCAAAACCCTGGTGGTACAATGGTCACCTGCTCGGCTGCTAAGGAAAAGTTTAGAGGTTAGAGCCTGTCAGCCCCAGCTTGCAGGTCACGTCAGCCACGCGGACTTGCCGGCACAACAACAGACAGAGAGAATGTGGCAATCCCAGGGGGCTTCAAAACTGTGTGGGTGAGTGCAACAGAAAGATAATGGAATTTTTCCATGAACTTTTTCAAACCGTAGTGTCCATGAATCAGGCTGCGAACCGCAAGGTCAACAGTTCGAAACAAGCAGCTGTTCTGTGGGAGAAAGACGAGGCTTTCTGCTCCCATAAAGATTGATAGCCTTGGAAACCCTGTACAGGGTCGTTATGAGTTGGAACCGACTCCACGGCACATCACCACCTTTGTATGTCTATACTATTTATAGGATGTGTATAGTATTTAAGGAGTCCTGGCAGTGCTGTAGGGTAAGCACTGGACTTCTAACCACAAGGTTCAGCAGTTTAAACCCACCAACAGCCCGGAAGGAGAAAGAGGAGGCTTTCTACGTGGCCTGTAACCCCTGCCCGTGTGCTCGGGAACCCGTGGGGTGCTGCCTCCTGACCGTCTCTCTCCTGCACCCACAGCTCCGGGAAAGGCATCTGGTCAAACCAGGGCTGCGTCCTCACAGAGGGGAACCTCAGCTACTCCGTCTGCCGCTGCACGCATCTCACCAACTTCGCCATCCTGATGCAGGTGGTACCCCTGGAGGTGAGAAGCCATGGGGCTGTGGGCAGGGTCCGCGGGAGCCACGGCTGGGCACAGGAGGAGTCTCAGCTAGATGCTCCCCTGGCTGAGGGCAACCGTGACACAGTCCTGCCTGGTGACCCCTACCTAGAGCACCCCAGCTTCAGATTTCAGAGGTACAGGACAGACCCAGAGGCAGGGGCTAAGCGAGCATATGGGAGGCAGGAGGTTAGCCTTTGACCCCTCCCTATGCCGTGGAGGGGTGCTCCCAGGAGGGCGTCCTCCCTGTGCCGTCGGGGGGTGCTCCCAGGGGGGCATCCTCCCTGTGTTGTGGGGGCGGTGATCCCAGGGGGGCGTCCTCCCTGTGCCGTGGGGGGGTGCTCCCAGGGGGGCGTCCTCCCTGTGCCGTGGGGGGGTGCTCCCAGGGGGGCGTCCTCCCTGTGCCGTGGGGGGGTGCTCCCAGGGGGGCATCCTCCCTGTGTTGTGGGGGCGGTGATCCCAGGGGGGCGTCCTCCCTGTGCCGTGGGGGGGTGCTCCCAGGAGGGCGTCCTCCCTGTGCCGTAGGGGGGGTGCTCCCTGTGCCATGAGGGTGTTTGCTCCTGGGGGGTGTCCTGTCTGGGGCCATGGGCATGCATGTTGAGAACAAGTGTCACTGAAGGCAGCCTAGGTGAGAGCTAAGCTTTTCTGCCAGTGACAGGGGTACCGGGCTGTGTTGGGTCAGACCCACTCCTGAGGGGCCTCATTCCGAGTTTCCCATTACCACAGGTCGGAAGGGAGACTCCTCAGCATCATGCCCCCCACCCCCCACTCCCATGGCACTGAGGATGTGTCTGTCTGACAGGAATGGCCATCCAGGTTGGCTTTCCGTTCCTCACCTGCTCAGCTGTCTACACGGTGGGCCTGAGGGTCAGAGACAGGCTCACCTTGGGATAGCACAGGTTTGGTATTAGACCACGGCAGTAATGGGAGCCACATGACATTGTTGGGTTCCTAGTACATGGAGAACGATGTGGACACCCTCCTGTTGTCTATGACGTGTACAATAGAAGGATGGGGATGTGTGAACAATCATGGAAATGACCAAAACGGGACATAGAGACACAAAGTGGGCACAAGCTGCTGAATGAAATGGCCCGATAGACTTGCTTGATGCAGAAATGCACAAATGTTCCACTTGTGAAACGCAGTGTCTGCAAAGCGCATTAGAGCAAAGCTCAACAGAAGGATGCACGATTGCTCTTGTTTCAGGCAGACACCATTTCTAGAAGAAACAACGTGCTCTGTTAAAAATGCAGGTGTCCTGTGTAGGGCTGCACCTGGCTGCTGTTAGTCCCTGCTGCCTGGCGAGTGGACTCATGGCTGCCAGGGGTCAGGCTTTGTTGTGAGCTCGTGTGAGCGTAGCCAGGGTCTGAGCTTCTCTGTGTGGAGTCTCCGGACCTGTAGGTGTGGGTCACCTGTGTGGATCACCTATAGTTCTTCCCAAGCCTGTGCTCCTGGCCTGGGCCACTCTGGGACCCGAATCGCGCAGCTGAGAGCAGCAGGGGTCTCGTGAAAACGCAGACTTCCTATAGCAGTGGGTCTTGGGGTAGGGGGGTGCTGCAACACATCTCTTGTGAAGCCAGCGTGGTAACCCAAGGTTGATCCACAGACCACATTTACCTCATGCTCCTACTACAGACAGACCACCAGGGGCTGGCCTGAACAAACAGGTCTCTCTGTCCCAGTTGAGGAGGCGAGGAGTCCAAATGCAGAGTGCTGGCTCTTGGGAAGCCTCTCTCTGTGGGCTCTGGACAAACGGCCTGGTCTCCTTTCAGCATCGATAGTCCCAGCATTCCTCGGAGGTCTCCATGCGTCTTGGCATCAGTCTTCCCCTGGACCTAGGAGCTTCACCATGTGGTGACCCCAGGTCCGGAGGACGGCCTCCACTCCTGACTCCTCTGTCTTGGCGACAGTAAGACCGTTTATCTCTGTTCACATCTCTCATCTCTTGTAAGATAGTAAGGATGTTGCAGTCACATCCCTGGGAGTCTCCTGTTTATCGGATCAGGTCAGTGATGGTTTGAAAGGCAGTATGTTGTGGTTGTTACTGGTTCCACCTCATAGTGACCCTGCATCAGGTTTGAGCCAGTGACCTTGAGGTTAGCAGTCCAGTGCTTATCCTAAAGTGCCACACCAGGCCTCCAAGCATGGTGTATCTCAACTTTAATCTTCACATCAGGTTACATCATGGGGAATCATCACATAACTGCCAAGCCACCGAGAATCATGACCCAGCCAAGCGGACACATATTTTGGGGACAGTGGATGTTGAATGTTTGTGGTGGAGGAAGGGTGAAGGGAGGGAAGGGGCTTATCCATTATGGTAAAAACTGCATCACCGAGGCACTTACAGTTAGAGATCATTCCCCAAATCTGTTACCAGTCAAGGTAACGGATGCCAGATTTAGACCATCTGTGGGTGTCTTCGTGGGAGCGAACATGACTCTTCATCTTCAGGAAAGGTTGATATGAAGATGGTTTAAATTTGTGCTAAAAATGAACATTTCCGTGGCCAGGAACAGAATGAAGGCAGTGTCAGCCGTGGGCCTAGAGACTTATATGGGGTCTTTACCTACCAGACCTGCGCCCCTGAGCCTCCTTGTCTGCCCACCCTCACACATGCAGGTGGCGCTCAGTCCTTTTCTAGGGGAGAGCCCAGAGGTATCCAGCCTCCAACTCTTCCTGGGCCATCTGCTCCAAGAGGAGCATAGGAACCATGCGTGGAGGGTCCACAATGTCCTGTACCCCACATCTCTGCTCCACAAGGCCCTCACACCCACCCACCCTGAGTGAGTGTCCTGTTGTACCCAGATGTTGTGTTAGATACAGTCTGAGTCTCCAGTGGAGGTTTACACAGCAGCGTAGGTCCCACGCAACACTGTCCACGCCGGCTGCCCATTGACACTGCCTGAACATTCCCACTGCTTCCGTTCTGGTGGTTCTGTTTCTGTTCATCTAGTTTCCCTGCCTACTGAACTGCTCATCTTTGTTTCAGAAGTCCTCATTGACTGTTTGGTCTCACGTGGGTGATTTTCAAAGGCGCACTGGATACTAATAAAGGAACCCTGGTGGCACTGTAGACAAAGCACTGGGCTGCTATCCACAGGGTTGGTAGTTCAAGCCCACAAGTTGCTCTGTGAGAGAAAGATGAGGCCCATAACAGTTTCCAGCCTCAGAAAGCCTACACTGGGTCGCTATGAGTCAGAACCGACTTCCCAGCAGTGGGTGGGGTACTAAAGGACCCTGGACTTTCTGAAGTGGGGTATTGCGTGCATGAGCACCTCAATTAATAATAAACCCCCACCAGCATGGAAAGGAAACAGTGAGGTTGCTGGCCCCATGTGCACAATAGTGTCAAAGGACCCAGTATTGGGTTTCTGAGAAGCAGCTGGGGAGTTTAAACCATGAAACTTGTTGTTGTTAAGTGCCATCTAGTTGGTTCCGACCCAAAGCGATCCTGTAAAGGGTTTCCAAGGAGCGGCTGATGAGCTTGAACCACCAACCTTTGGTTGAAACTGACCTTGCAGTCCAGCTCAGTAACCCCAGCGCCACGCCAGGCTTCCCGGTAACATACAATCATGATTCATCTTCCAATCAGTGGTGTCTGATAGCCTCAACTGCCAAGCAGCTCCTGATCTCATCATTTGAAGTGTCCGCCCCGTCCTGCCTGAAATCAACTCTCCTCCTCAGGCGTCCCCACTGCACCGTGGGAAAGTGCCCTCCCAGTCTGGGCCCACCGTTCTGCTGACATCGATTGAGGGGTGGGTGATTTGTGGCCTGGCCGTGTCTAGGTGTCTAGGTGTGGGTTGTGTTTGGCGCAGTTCTCCGACTCTGAAATGAGTGAGCAGCTGGTCAACCTGGGCTTGTCTGAATGAGTACAGTGAGTGACCTAGACACAAGTCTGCTTCCGGGAGCCGTGGGGCTGAGGGAGGGGTCAGTCTCTGTACCTCCATCTGTCAAACACAGGAGAGTCCTGGGTGGGGGATTTGTGCTAGCTCCAGCTCATCCCAGCCTCTTTATCCAGGTAATAGGGTTAGTCTGAAAGTATTGCCACAAAGCCATAGGGGGCTTTATGAAACAGAACCCTCAAAGCAGGAAGCCATTGTTCCTTGAGGCCACCTCCACCTAGGTCTGCACCCTTCTTCTGAATGTGCTGTTTCCATCTCTCCGACCCTTCTTTAACGATGCTGTGCCCTTTGGTGTATACTAAGTCAAATTGGAAGTTGGGGCTTCCTTGAGGGACTCAAATCAGGTTCAAATCAGGAAACAAAAGGAAGGCTCCGTGAAATTCTCCAAGGATTTGCTGTCTTGGGAGAATGAGCAGATGCCTCGTCATGATGCATCAAGGAAACTTCTCCATGTAAATTTCCTGGACTTTTTCTATTTTCTTAAAACATCTTCCTAATAATTCCCCATGATCATCTTATATCTTTTGAGAAAATCTATCAAGATGTTGCTAAATGCTGTTGAGTCGGTTCCGACTCAGACACCCAAAGAGTGGCTGGTGGGGAGCCCTTTGGAATTAAAAAAAAACAACAGTCACTTTAACTTTCTGGGCTGATCTCTCTGTCCTGAACTAAACTGGTAGCGCAGATCCCCTGGGAAGCTGCTGGGTTTTATTGTGTCTATTTTGGAAGTATCCTAAGGAGACCAAGACAAGTGTGTTACTGAGAGAACTTGCCTGCCTCTACACACTAATTGCAGAGATACATTTAAACGTGTTTTGTTTGGTATAAACCTCTGTGTGTGTGTGTGTGTGTGTGTGTGTGTGTGTGTGTGTGTGTGTGAATTGGAACCCAGGTAGCATTTCTTCTTGGCTGACCCTTTGGTATAGTGTGTATGTAGCCATCGGGCCACCCATCTCTCTCTGCAAGTAGCGGTTGTTGCCAGGGGCACCCTTAGCCCTGCCGGCCCATGAGCTGCTCAGAGTCTGGGGTGAAGGCATTGGGGCTGCCCAGGCTTGTACTAGGGTCTCCCCTTGGCTGAGAAGACTAGAAGGGAGAACCCCCATTTCTGAGGTCTCCACCCCATGTTGCAGGCCTCTTGTGCTCCCCGAGCCCTATTACCCCTCCTTCTGGAGAGGAACCCCTGCCTACTGTCTTCTCAGATCCTGTCTGACTGTGTGCAGTAGGTCATCACGGATGGCTGCTAGGGCAGTACCACGGGACAGGGTGTGGTGTCGTGCGGTCTCAGGCATGCTT